CAGAAACAGTACTATATAACATTTTAGACACATTCTAGACAGTTTATCAGCTAAAAAAAAGTTAATTTTGGGGTAAGATACTCTTTAAAATAATCCCTTTGTGTGACGATTTCATGCTTGTCTTTAATAAGTTTTATGAAATATTTATAAATAAAGTTAGCAGTTTTTGAAGGAATATAAGTTGTCCACCTGTACATTCAAGTTTTAAATCAAGATCATAAGTTTTGTTTGCTTTGAGGATGTGATGGAAATGACTCGGCTACACCACCATTAAACTCACTGCTGCTTGATGAGCTGTGGCTCAAAATGTAACAACAGCTACGATTTAGCTCCAAACAATGTAAAGCTTCAGTAAGTTGCAAATTAAAAACAGAACTACTAACGAAGAGGGGGCTTATCTCTTGGTGTGGGATTATTTTCAACATAGTTTTGGGGATTTCTTGTGGCTACCACCACACCAAATTCCACATGGCTAAAAATGGCCAAGCTACGGTCAATTTTACATTTTAGCTATGGCGGCCATCTTGGATTTTTAATCATTATTCAGTATGCGATGAGGATCATTCTGCAGCTACCAACACACAAGATTTCAGCCCAGTGTGTCCGAAAATGATTGCTGTTTAAAATCAGCTCTGGCAGCCATGTTGAATTTCTATTTAGCTTTCAGTCCCGATGTAGCCTTTTCTATAATTAGCATTAGCTGTTAGCTTAAGCGTGTGATTCACATTCAGAATGTGCTGAGTTAGCGCTTAGTTCATTTCCAGGGCTGAAATTTGTTGGGTTGGTAGCAGAGTCATTGCTTTGCAATGCATATCTCTGCTCTCCTTTTCATTTGAATTGGAAGCCCCAATAATAGGTCACAAAATTTGTTAATACTAACCATAATCTGTGTTTTCAGGCTCCCAACAGTTGGACGGCCAGAAATACGGTGCCTGAAAAGGAAACAAAACTAAAATCAAATTTCACATGGTCTTGTTGGCGGTTATTGTGTGTAATTTGATACATTTCTCAGGTTCTGATAAAAACACTTCAGCAAAATGACAAGTGATAAAAGATGCAGAAACATCAATAAGTAAACAAGATGAGAACATTTACTGAATCATTTTCTAACATCTGATTTTATTTTTAGCAAACTTTTGATGTCATATAAGAAGATTTGAAGCAGAAACTGCTCTTTTTTCCATAAATGTTTATAGACTTCTGCGTATTTTCTCACGTTGCACTTTCTTACTTAATACTTCTGTAAAAATAGCAAATCCTTACTTTTCTATTCAATCAAAATGTAAAACGTTTAACGACATTTTCTCTGTTACTCACTAGAACACGTGCTATGTGTCAGTTTTGAACTAAATCAGTGAAATGTGAACCCACACCTGACCTTCTCACCTGAAAGCGATACAAAGTCCCGTCATCTTTGAGGCAGAGGATGTGATCTGAGATGGGGAAAACGTATCCCTGAGCTGCGATCAGACTCCCGATGTGCATGGCTTCAGCTGCAAGAAAGGACGTCAGGGATTACATTCTAGTTTTCACAATTCTGCAGCAGAACGAGAAGAACATCATGAAATGGATGGAGCAGGACAAACTTCATATCTATCAATAACACAATCAATCTATAATACTGGATTTATAATGCTTCTACAGCCTGTAGTTTTCTTGCAATGAGCTTTTTGTTAAATTGTGTTGAAATTGTACATGCATGATTCAGTTGTAACGTTTTTTTGTTTAAATACCAAAACAGTTTTTTTTTTTTTGATAATTTTTAATTTTCTGGAATTAGCTCAGTTTAATGCAAAGTTTTCACGTTCCAATACAAACCTGACGGATCGCAAAAGAATTCAGTTTAACAGTTTTTATCCAATAACTTTCAGGATCTTTACAGTCTTTATGTTTGGGTGGAAAAACACACCTGGATCCTCAATGTCCAGATTCTTCAGCAGCCACTGAACAATATCTGCACCTAAAATCAGAGAAAACAAACAAACAAATAAATAAATAAATAAATAAATAAATAAATAAATAAATAAATAAATAAATAAATAAATAAATAAATAAATACTGCACAGTTCAGAAATGTGTCTGTCATTTAAAAGATAAAAGAAATGAAATAAAAATTTCAGAACTGTTTATTAAAACAATAAAAAAGGAGATACTTAAATCTAAAAATAAAACCTATGTAAGAAATATTCGCGTTCAAAGACTGAAGTCATTAGAAAACCACCAATGTTAAATAATATGATTGTTAGACGAGATAAAACCAGACAAAAACAGAATTCTGGAGTGAGGATTTAATGCCACGGCTGACAGGAAACCACACACTGCTGGCCAACCAGGAAGTTGATCTATTTATAGAGTCTTCAGTGCCCGCGTTCGCCCCCTACTGACCGACTGCTGAATCACAGGCATTCATACACAATTCTCCCCTATTGTTCTTGTAACGGATAAATATGTGTTGTTATAGATATTTCGGACAAGTAACTAATCTATATCAATTAACACATAATAGATTAAACATTATAAAAAGGAAAACCTAAAAATATAGTGTTGTGCTTTTAACATCAGTACCATCAGTACTAAACCCTAATAACTATAAATTTCTTCACCTTTAACACTAAAAATCTTATGAAAACTTAAAAACCATGCACTCACTGCCTGATTCAGGCCTAAAACAAACGTTTGAGTTTGAGGCGTCAGTTTTCTCATCTCTTCCTGCTGTTTTCCTGAACGAGCTGATGTTTTATTCTCCGTCCTTCATTTGGCAAACAGACGCAAACGGAGCTACTCTGCACATTTATCCACTGCTGAGGTCATTGTGTACATTACTGCTCTGCTTGTTGGAGTCATACATCTTCCAGGTAAAATAATAGCTTTCTGCTACAGTTCGTTTAGTCCCACGGAGACTCCATACTGTTTCAAAACTTTTAGTTATTCTAATTAAATAAAAGCTATGTGACAAGTAACACATCCAGTTCAAAACAACCACTTTATTTTATTAAAAAAAACAGTGCTGATGCAGTTTGATGCACATGCAGCTGCTGCTTCATTCAGGTATTTGCTGAAAGGTCGTCTAACAGGAGGATGACAAACAATCTTTCTGTTTCTGCTCTCACACTTTGCAAACATTTCATCACGTGTCGTCCTCCCACTTTCCTCCCAGCAACTATTCTGAACTAACGACGCCTGAGCAGAAGCTGCTTAAAATGCAGCTGAGCGTCTCAAAGGCAAAAGCTCTTTAATCAAATCCCAAACTAATGATCAGATTAAATTACACATAGAAGTGCAACGCAACAAAAATAAAGAGGTGAGGAGTTTTGTGCATGTATTAGAAACATGTCCCAGTCAGGATTGTTTTATGCAGTTCCTGAAACCATCATCATGTGTGAACATTAAGCAAAGGAACCTCATTGCAAAATGTCTCTCAGCTTTGGCTGCCCTGAAAACCAGAGGAGAAAAATGTCACCTTCCTTGAAACACAAGGAAGTAAAGATTTCAGCATTTTGTCTTTGTGTCTCAGTGTGTTCAGCAGACGCCTGCTGTCCTCCACTGATATGTGATGTTTGCACCGAGCAGCAGCTGTCACTTTCACTCCCACTTCTCTGCAGCACCTCTTACCTGTAACAACACTGTGGATCTTGGTCATGAAGCTCTTGACAGTTCTGATGGGAATGCCTTCTGTTTCGTCCTGGATACGAGTGACGATGTCTTCAATCTGAGGAAGGAAGAAGTGACAGAGTGTCCAGAAACAGTAAAACCAGGGTTCACCACCATGTTTTTAGTCACTCAACCAACACTTCCTGGTTTTCAAAGTTTCTACTTTGCATTTTAAAACATGGTTTTGTCATTTGCTGCATTAAAAAAAATAAAAATTTGATTTAGGGGCGGAGCTAAGCATTTTTAGTTGTGGCACAGGTGTTTCTTTAGCTGGGGACGTACAAGTACAAAAAATTCAAGATGGCCGCCACAGCTAATTTCAAATGGCTTCAATTCATCTGTTTTAAGAAATACTGAGATAAAACTTTGTGTAATTGTAGCTAAGAACGATCATGTGGTGACTGTAATCCCAAATTAAGCCAACTGTTAATGCTAATGCTAATGCTACAAGGGGCTTTAACAAACATTTTTTAAACACACACAGCTAAAACATTTCCATAATACCATACTATCAGAGAACAATCTTTGACAAAATCTAAACGCAAATACACAATCCAAGATCACCAACCACTTGTCAGTTATTTGGGGGAGGGCGGGGCACCTGGAGTGGCCAATCAGAGGTGGCCCTTGGCACCCTGGCCACCCCTCTAGCTCCTCCCCTGTTTTGATTAAACACAACCTTCTTTATAATCCTTGGCATTAAAGATTGTTCCTGTTCTGCTAGACTTTCAAAAAAATCAAGTAATCATAATTTTGCAGTACTGATGTGTCACCAAAATTAGTTATGATTAGCCTAATTAAAAACACAAAGACACGTTAAAAAAAACTGATTACTGAATACTTTTGTTTTAAGCTGGAACACCCTGTGGCTTAATAACAGCAACGCCAGGGAAATAAGCTTTAAACTGCTCAGCTCCTACCCGTTTTGCCAGAAAATCAACAGAAAACTAAGAAAAATAAGGAGTGTTGCATATTTTCTTTTTTTAAATTTATATTCAGAGTAGCTCCAAACGTATTGCGCAAAAAGAATGAGTGCTGAAAATATGCATCCATCAGTGTGTGGCTCTGAGCACGCCACATTAAATGACTGAGTTTTAGAGGAACAGCTGAAATTGTTCCCTCAGCTGCGAGCTGTTTTCAATATCACATTTAATTTCCAATTTGAAGACGTCACATGGAAGCAATTTTGAGCCGATTGTAAGCAACATTATGAATTCTCTCTCATTATTCCCCCGACTTTCTGCAGGATTAAATTGATTATAGTTTCAGTCATCCCTTTGTTTTCTCTGACATCCTCGCAGTGCTTTACACAGCAACAAATGGACTGTGTGTGTGTGTCAGGGAAACGTCAAATGTGTGTGTGTTTTCCCATGGTTGCCCTGAGGAATAACTGTCCAGAACATTCCTTGTGTCTGGTAATGGCATGCTGCTATCTGCCTCCACAGCGCGCTGAAAAGAAATGACTTTCCAACATCACGGCTTCCCTTGACTGCTCAAGCCTGATTCAGCAGGAGTGAATAAAGCCTCGGCTACAAAGCTCAACATTTCACACAAACTCCTCCATCATTAAAGGCAACTTTTTCACAGCACTTTAGCTTTATTTTGACAGCATGCAGCCAAAACGATGGAACGGTAAGAGCAAGAGAAATAATGATTTAAGCATTTTAACTCAGTCTGTTGATGAATAATCCACATCCTTGGAATATAACACTTCATTTTTTTTATAATTAACTCTTTTGCTACATCCTCTGAACTTCCAGCCCACCTTTATACTTCAAATTTGATTAATGCAGACAGTTTTTCTAGTATAGCTTGAGACATAGTTCAATTCTATACCACAATTAAGAAACTACCGGTATGTTAGCTTCAGTTGTTATAAAAATGCTCTATACATCACAAAATGCCTTAAAACTGGCCTCTGTCTCTATAAGAACCTCCTACCGTTTCCAACACTCCCACTTCAGCACATCTTCACAACAATGCTTCATGCTGTTTACAAACTTTTGTAGGAGCGTTGTGATTTGTTGTAAAAACAAAACAATGAAGCCATGTTATATAATATCGGTTTTGGCAAAAGGAAACTCAGGGTACAGCTGGACCTTACTCTGATGATCCCATGTCGGACGCAGGAAGTACGTTTTCTGAAGAACAAGACCTTTCAGCTTGAAAATATATCTCCCAGTCAATGTTAAGCTGCTTTTTGGAACAAAACTGGGGCTGGAGCTCAGCTGGGGACTGATGGGTGGAGCTTTGTACCAGCAAGCATCTCAGCTCCACAACAAAGCAACACTCAGGGCATGGTTTGGATGAGGGAATGACATTATAACATGATATAAAGCCAAAAAAAGTACATTTTCCATAACCCCCACCCCACCCCCACCTTTATCTGTTGCATAACGTTTCAAGTGTTGAGGGTCTTCACTGATTCATTGTGGTGATAAAAATGCCTGTTGTGCTAAAAAAATGAATATTCTAGAAGTGACAGAGCTCCTGCCTGATGCCTTTAAAGTCCAAATGAACCTTCATTCTATTTCCTGTCTCAGTGCACACTTCCACGGGAGGTGATAGCAATTGCAGTGTTGCGAATCGCGCTCTCAGGTCGATTGTCTTCATGAAATTTGATTGGTTCTTCTACTGCCTCTTGTAAAGGTTATTGGTGGTTCGCAAAAACGGGGGTGTGCATTACGGACGTGAAAACTAACCAAATCTTGCGATGCTAATGATAATGAAAAACAAACGCACACCAAGATACAATTTTATGAGGAAAAACTTACCAGATAACAAATTCCCATAAAGCTGCCTTTTTAGTAATCACTTAGTGAAGGGTCATATAAAACTGGAGAGTTTGACAGAGCTAAAATAACGCTGAAAGTGTTAGCTAACTGCAGCGTGTAGCATACTCTCCTCTCATTGGTCAGTCAATAAAACCCTCGCTGATTAGTTGTACTCCAAGCGACAGCGACAAAAGTTTAACATTTTTCAACTTTCTTATGTCGCATCGCAAGCTTGCGTGTGCACGACTACGTGAACGAGCGTGAAATTTCACACGCACGATTTTCGCCGGTCGCTTGGCTGGAGGAGGGCGAGTGAGTGCCGCCTCACCGCACAACTTTCATAGGAAATGAATGGAGAGCGAACGACGTCGCCTCCCGTGTGTCGAGCTCCTTACTGTAACTCCACAAGTCCCGCCCCTTTTCTGAGGCGTGTCTCAGATCAACTCGTTTTGAGGCTGTCTCTATAAATCCAAACAAGGAGCTCCACACCCCGCCCCCCTCCAACTTCCAGAACGGTCTTCTAGAGACTCCAAGTACACAACAAAATGCACTTAATGTCTTAGAAATGGATTTTACACACGCTCCATTTAAATCAATTAAAATAATTTGATAGTTGAGTTTCTGGTGATGCATTTAGCTCATATAAAATTGTAATGGAAGGTACAATTTGGTAATGAGGTCCATCTGGTTATCCTAATATCATAGGGAACCTTAAAGAAAATGTATTTTTTTCCCTCATCAACTGTTTCATTCATGTCTTCAGTCCTAAAAGCAGAGAAGCCATAATCCTGCCTCTGGTTTGGTCTTTAATAATAACTTCTTTGGTGCTTTTGACAAAAAGGGAACCAAGAGTAAAAAAAAAAGAAGAACATGACTAAAGTTAAGGTGAAGGATAAGAGTCAGAAAGTTCATTTCTTAGAGCTTTTAAATTTCAGTCTTCATTCTTTGTTTTAAAGATCTTAGCCTTCATGTCGCCTACAGAACAGAGGATAAAAAACTAAAACCGTTCCCCAGAGTCTGGGTGTGGGGACCTATAGTCTCAGCCTTCAACACTTTATCCCTGTCAGTTTGATCAGATCCAGTCTGCTTCACATCCAACAGAACTCAGGCTCCTGTCAGTGGCTGCTTTCTGTGATGATCACAGGATGAATGAGTGACTGAAAAGTGCCGACAGTCAACTTGTTTTCCAACTGCGCAAGTAAAAACAGCTTTATTTATATAAAAAAGGCAGATTTTAGCCGAGTCTGTTTGACAGATTTTCCTCAAACGAGATGAAAGCAAAGCGTGTGGGTTTATATGTTTTTGTGTCAAGTCTTATGTAATTCTGAGAGGCTCTTTTGATAAAAGAAAATAAACTTAGTTTTTTTCCTTTTAGTTTATTTAAACACACTTGTGTGGGTACGCAGTTAGGACTTTTTACTATATAATAATAATGAAACCCATGTTTCATATATATATATAAATAATGAAACCCATATCCAACACCTACACATCTTGTCCTTGCTTTTAAGCCGACCTAAGTTTCTGTTCATCCTCAAATCAAGTGAATATTTTTTGTTACATCCAGGCTTGCAGCGCTGTGCAGCAGTGCTTTAATATGAATGCATCGCTGCAGATTGTACCAATTCTTCCAATAGAAGTGATAGAGCCTGTGACGTGCAAATCCTTCAAATACAAAACGTCAAAGAAATCATTTTATATTTAAGAAACTTGGCATAATACACTGGATTTTACCCATTTTGACACATAACCAGCATATTTTCTTTCAGCTCAGCCAAAATGAAACAGGAAGTGACATCAAAGGGGAACTCTTAAAGAATAAAACCCTCTCACTCTGATTTTTGTTCATGGAAACATTGTTTGAACTCTTCAGCTCTCTGATAGAGACTCAAAATGACCTAAAGAAACATCGGATTCTTCTCTACAATCTGTGTTATCAGACATTTTATCAACACTCTGCTTACATGCAGACATTCCCCTTTGACATCACTTCCTGTTGACTTACATGCAAATATCTCAACAACTGTTCATCTCAGCGGCGTGAAATTTATTTTGCATTATGTTGTCAGTGTTGTCGTTCCAAAAATGAATTAAAATTTATGACAAAGATTTGATGTTATAGGCACTTTAAAGAAGAAACAAAAAGTGAGACGTATTGAAACCATGCACATTTTATTTTTGCCATGTTATGAGTCAGCTTTAATATATATTTAGCCTGCTGCTTTCAATTTGGCTGAACGAGGTCTCACATTCAGCTCTAATAAATCTAAATCTACATTATTTA